CTTTTAAACGTGACAAGCAAGATAACAGAGATAAATGACCATTAAGAAGTCATATACAAACACATTAGAAACCGGTAAGAAAGACTAGACAGCCAAACTTGAACTTGAACGCCACATGGTCTGCCTCCGATTATGTGAGTCTGATAGATCTATGCTTTCAGAATCATGATTTCCTTGGACATGAAAAGCTGCGGGTGGAGCTGTCACTAAGAGTCTCCCATCTTCTGTATGTCGCATGCTATGTTTTTCGGAGGTTGTAGTTCTTGTGATATTTGTACACGACCCGAATGCGCTCGCAACCTGCTCGAAGATCGGACGGAGAAATGGGCTGCTGCTAACAATAATAGCAACACCGTTCTCGACAACAGTCCAAACATGGCCCATCATTCCGCTATAGAGGATATCTGTCTGCTGTACACTTATTATCACAATCGGGCGTAGAATGCCAAATATCATGGTTCTATCCGCCGGAGGCGATTTGTCAGAAACGGATAATAAAAGAAAAAGAACAGGATAAGGAGTGAGCCGAAAATCATATCAAAGATAGCTTACAGTATTCCCGTGCTGAACACAAAGATCAAGGTCACCCTGGTTGCCTTTGGCATCTGCAGGCTCCAGAGCGTGGGAAATGGAAGTATCAGGATAAATAAGTCAAGGAGGACGTCGAACGCGGCCAGGAGACCATAGGCGACTGTGAGGTTCAAGCAATGCCCTTCCATCGTGACCCTTGACCAATTCAGACAGATTGGCTGGCAGAAGAACAACGATATGAAAATCGTCAGTATTGCCCATAAGACAGACAGCACCATTAAGGTGCGGGCAATGAAAACTAGATTCGGAGTGGAAAATATGCGCGCGAGGGACCAACAGATGCTAATCTTTACCAGTCCGAGAGATATGGCGTAAAGGATCACTAACAAGTAACACATCTGAAGTAGATGAACGACAATAATATGAGCAGGGAACACTTTTGTGTAGCCAGTAGATGCATGGTTGCAATCCATGCGCCTGATGGAGGAGCACTAACCTTAAGCAATGCAGTTACATGGTAAGTTTGCAGTTCCCATATGTGATGCCCAAAGCCTCTCACAAACACTAACTATGTTTAGATCAGAAAAAACACTTTCGAGCTTCCTTTGACTCACTTGCAATACTAAGCCAGCAAACGCCTTGGAAGCAGATCTATTGAGATAGTTACAGTCAGAAAAGCCGTGCGTAGTTATGTTGGACAATTTACGACCTACCAGGGACGCAATTTGTAAATAATCTTCCGGAAAAGGCTTCTGTCCTCTCAGCCGTCGCGAAATAATCCGTAGCGCAGTGAAGACAATGGTCAGAAGTATCAAAAAGACATCCATTATAATTACCTTAACTCCCATCGAAGATGGGGGTATGATACCATCCGTATAAGAGGAAGGACCGCTCCCAATACCTGCCAATGCACCTGTAACCGACCACGAAGGCGAGTCCATCCTGGAGAAATTGATCTCATAAGACTGAAGAAGTGTCCGAATATAAGGATATGCACAAGCTTTTATTGCTTCTTCGCCAAGTGCGTAGGATATGCAAAGAAAGACAAGGCTTATCAGTCTGAGGTGTCAGCACTTTCCTAGGTTGATGTTGTAGATTGTGCGAAGTTACGCGCTGTCGGAACATAACCATTGCTCAGATCAAACTTCTTTAATGTTAAGTTACCTCACTGTATAGCGAGCTACTATCTACTTAAAGCACACCGCCAGATATTGGCTGGAAAGTCAATCATGTTCTCGAAGCAAGTGGGGTGATTCTCGTTTCCGATTCTAATTCAAGACATGGTTAGCGGTGTTAGTTTAGCAGTTAAATAATTCTTCCCACTTATGACAGCCGGATGGGCACTCCCGGTTTCAGCCACTATAACTAGCATCATGGAATATTATAATGAACGGGTCTATACCCAAGAGGTCCAGACTGCATCATCAACTTGAAAATACCGAACCACAGCAACTTGGAAACGACTCCTAAAGAACTAGACGTTCGTTCATGCTGCATTGCGCCAGAAGTTGCGCAACATTCTAACAACTTCCAACAACTCACTTTACTCTGGCATTCTTTTCTGGTGCGTTGAGAGTGCTTCCTGTTGTACGGAGTATTGGATTGCTCCACACTTGACGGGGCCCACTTTCCCTATCGTAGATTCCATTGATACCGAGACAGATCGCTTCGGTCTCCGGCCGAATCATCGCGTTTGTAAGGTTCAAATCTGTGTCAATCAGGGACATGTACACGATCCCCAATCGCCCCGACCGTAGATGCCTAGGGCACGGATTCTGCGGAAGTTGGAAAGCGTTGAAGCTTGTTTGGTACTTTTGTCCTGCAATATCTGCGCAAGCGAAGGAGCTTTCCTGCAAATCCTGCAGGAACCAAACCAGGAAACCTGATGTACTAGCATACTGTATGTATCCGAGGAGTATGGAGAACATGAGCGCTTGAGGAGTCAAACTGTGAGCCATGTTCTTCAGCCGGTTGAGCTCTATGAATGACGCCTCTATATTAGATGTCAGTCGGATAGTGACTGAGGTGCTCCTGTATTCTCTTGCGTACAACCAAGCCCTTTCTCAGTTAAAATGCGGCCTCAAATACTTGGTCATATGGATAAATCAACTAATAGGTACCAACCGCTAGATTTGCTAACCAACAAATTTAACCGTCTGAATGGGAACATGCACACCGCTCCCCAGGAACCAGCCTAGCAAGGAAATAGGCCCATGTTCTATCCCTTCCAGCCCTGAGCTGGTTAGAAGCAACCTTGGCAGGACAGATTCTGGATTAGGGCTATATCTCCAAAGGTTGAGCGTGCTCAGCATGCCGAATCAACTTGCCTTTGGCTGGAGCTTGACAAGAATTCCATAGTTACTGTGGCCCAAGGTTGAAGAAACTGAAAGCCAAGGATATCTTGTATTAGTGGGGGCACTGTCGCACTAATGAAACGTGGCTAAATCTGGCGATGCGCGCGTTGGTGGAAAATAGAGGGAGCTACAGCCACTGCAGATCAGTGTACCGAACAAAAGGGAGAGCGGAGAAAAATAGTTTAACTTTGTTATTGGATATACCTCTCCATCTCGGTATATGAATTTCTTTTTCTTGGTATATGCATGGACTGCACTATTCCTTCGGGTTGTTTCACTGGAAAGTACCTTGTGGCTGCCCTTCCCACAAGAGGACATCTAACCCTATTCAACTTGAGGCGTCTAATTTTTGTCTTTTCCAAGTACAATACAAAGCGCCGCGTTCAACTAGCAAGCTTGGCGCAGGCTTCCATCCCCTGTGTATGATCACGCCGTACTCATAAGTGTTTTGTTGGGGTTGGAGATTCCTTCTATATTCGCTTATTGGTTATAGCTGTGGTTGACGGATCTACACCTTTCCATTCTAGATGCTTCGATAATCCTTAACTACAACACCGAGACCAAAACAGAACGCAACTACCTCCTACCATGAATTACAAGATAGCGCATGGACTCTCCTACATTTCTATCTGCATAGTCCCCCCAACGCACTGATTGGGGTAGATACTGAGTCGAGGCACATATCCAAACCGACGTTAACACTACGAATAGTGGAGCGAACAGTATTCCGGTTATGATAATAGTATTGAGCACGTATGGAGGCTTCTTCGAAGCGCTCAATGGCTAACTTGCTCGCTGAAGCCTAAAGTTATATGAACTAACCCTGACTTTAGCGTGGTGTTGATACAAACCACTGACTCATCATAATAATCAGGGGTCAGGAAGCTCCGAATCCATGGTATCGTGTCTACTACCAGAACTGCTATAGTACAGTTTCTGCACAGACGTGTCTTCTGGCCCAGTTCGGCTCTCTCTAGAACCTCAGGTTTCAGAGTGGACCTCCCCTTTCCCCGGGGCCTCTCACCATTCAGACTTATCATCGCGCGGCTAAAACAGATACCTGAGTCGTCAATGGTGTGGATAAACCAATCGAGAACATTTTTTGCTATCCAAATGGAGTTCCACTCTTTTCATGTGCTGATAGCGAAAGTTTTCATCTGGTGGACGTATGCTGATTGGCTTCTCCTTTCTTACATAACTTCACCATAGAAGGGTAATACACACTATAGTAGTATGTCTTGAGAGATGGAAACAAAGAGCCCTTGCGCTGGTAAAATCATTACCATGTTGTGCTACTATGAATATAGCATAGTCCTATCACTACAGAAGAGTCCAAACTTATGAGTGAGAATAGATAAAACATTCCCAAATTCGTATTTCTATTCACCCCTGGCTTTTTGTTATTTAAACTTATCGTTGGTCCCATAGAGCTGCAGTAAGCTTAATTACATTGAGTGAACTTCTTGGATTAAGATAGTAGCATTCCAAGTCTCGGAATATATGAAGGGGCAAAACATGGATAACGCTACTAAACAAGCCGTGATTTTTACTTTAGCTGTCAGGCATCGAGTTCCGCAATGTATTCGAACTCTTATCAGCCGAGAGAAAAACTGATTAAGCATACCCATAGGGATAATGGTCACTGGGGTCTTGAAAGCTCTGAAGTATGCAGCATAATGGTGGTACTCGCTTTGGGGCTTCTGGTGAAGACCGGTACATATGTAAGACAAGTTCTTGTAGTCCAATGGGATGCAACTAAAATCCTTCACTGAAGAACCATCTGTGACACAAAGCCTGCAGGTGTAACAGTCGGACTATCGTGGGGGTCATTCGTCTATACCGTATCCCATAAATTCCCTAGCAGGCCAAGAGGGACCAGGGAATAGTCCATACTTGTGACCATTGCAGAGACAATCCTACCTCCCATGGCTCCTTAATGAATCACGGTAAATTATGGGAATATATATACTCTTAAGTCCCATTCACACCCTCTCGATCAATTCCCTGAATCGACCGTCGGTGCGACCCCATGCACAATTGATAAATGTACATCCGTCCCCCTTCCTAGCACACATATATGGATTCTCTAAGCCTTCCGGTCATATAGAAGTCAATATGAGGCTGTTAATAGCCACCATATCGCTAATCCTCTCAGCTCTATCATGGCTCGACTGTACAGTCTCCGTCCCTCGCGCCCCTCCCTCGCTCGACCTTTCGCAACTCGAAGACAAGAGAGTTATCACCCGCGATGTCTGTATCATAGGCGGTGGTTCCGCCGGCACATACGCAGCAATCCGCCTCCGACAAATGAACCAGAGCGTTGTGCTGGTAGAGAAAGAGGACCACCTAGGCGGACACGTCAATACCTACGACGACCCGGAAACAGAAACCGCCGTCGACTATGGCGTGCTCTACTACGAGAACCTCCCCCTGGTGCGAGATTACTTCGACCACTTCGACATTCCACTGGAGAAGGTTCGCATTCTAGAGCAGAACTCCACGCAACGTCGGGTCGATCTTCGCACTGGGACCCCCGTCGGTCCAGCCCAGGGCAACATGTCCCAGGCATTGGCGGCGTACTCGGCCCAGCTGCTCAAGTATCCGTATCTCAGCACGGGCTTCAACCTGCCCAACCCCGTACCCCCAGATCTGCTGCTCCCGTTCGGCGAATTCGTGAAGAAGTATGACCTCGAGGGCGCGGTCGATATCATTGCCATGTTCAATCAAGGCGCCGGCGATATACTGCAGCAGACAACACTTTACATGTTGAAATATTTCGGCCTTGGTGTGGTCCAAAGCGCATTCGGGGGTTTTCTTGTGCCAGATAGTCGCAACAATAGCGAGCTATATGGTGCTGCGCGGGAGGAGCTAGGCGAGGACGTGTTACTCAATAGCACTGTTACTTATACACACCGCAATGACGCGAGGGGGTGGGCGTACGCGGTGGTGCAAACGCCATCCGGGGTGAAAGTGATTCGTGCACGGAAACTCATCATAGCCATTCAACCCAGACTGGATATGCTGAAGGGAATGGACATGGACCTGGACGATTCAGAGCGAGAGCTGTTCAGGCAGTTCAATAATACGTGCTACTACACGGCTCTCGCCAGGATCCCGGGTCTTCCAGAAGATATGCAGATTGTCAACCGTGCAACCGATACCCTCTACCAACTGCCGCCTCAGCCTGCGGTCTACGTGATAAACACCACCAGAGAGCCGGGGCTGTTTACTATTCTCTACGGGAGCAAAGAACACATGACGGAAGCAGAGGTTAAGGGCAATATGACTCTCAGTGTCATGCAATTAAGGAAGGCGGGTATTCCTGTTGAACCACCGGAGTTCGTTCGATATTCGGACCATAGCCCCTTTCTATTGACTGTCCCGCCAGATGCAATTCGCAATGGCTTCTACAGACGTCTGAATAATTTGCAGGGCCATCGCAGGACGTACTATATGTCTGTCACGTTTGACTCGCATGATTCGGCGCGGATCTGGTCCTTCATTGATGGGTTGCTAAAGGCGAGCTTTTCATGATGTCTGAATAGACTGGGCAATGGCTAGGGCAAGCTGGGTTACGGGTCAGTTCTACCTACCGAGCAAAATTCGACGAGCACCTCGATGGCTACGCTTCTGGTTCTAGTAGGTGAGCAATGTCGCCGTGAGCTCGCATGACTTGGATGATAGGACAGATAATAGGATATGGGTTAAGTGATAGTCGCGCGACTAGATACCTAGAGCTAGAATAAGTTTTATCTTTCTCGTTTATGTTTACCCTGATCATGTGCATTTTGTCCGGAGCTCTCTTGTCGGGTGAGATAGAAAAAGAACACTCCCTTGTAAAAAGGTGTTGTTGGTCTCTTCGAAGTTTGAATAAGAATGAGTTTACCGAATACAAGTCGCTAGATATAATATTCCAACTGCCCTCGAGGCACATCAGGACGAGATCGAGATTAGTGTTAATTACTCTTGAGGTAGCATGATTATCTATTTAACACCGATGGCAGACCTGTTGGTTGTCAACCGCTCACTTCCACCATCTCTGTCCTCTCTTTCTCCTTCCCTCTCGCCTTATTCCTCCCGAATATAAGACCTTCATCGCAGGAGATGTTGTTGCAAAGTGAAATGCCGCAGGTTGGAGAGTTCGATCAGCCCCGTCTGAGGGTCAGAAATCAGCATAGCAAGAAAGGCGTTGTTAGACAGAGCCATATGATGGAGGGTCAAATGTCAAGGAATTCCGAGTTACTTTCAGACGGTGGTGGACATAGCTTTTCGTTCAGAGATTTCTTTGAGCTTTGCATATGATAGATTATATGCTATAAATATTGTGGCATAACTTAGGCAGTCTACGAGTAATCGCCAGACACATATCGGTCGCTCAAACACAGCTCGTTCATCCTTAATAGACATTATTGACTTAATAAACAACATTGGTATCCTAACAAGAATCAAGTAGCAGAGACATCAACAATTAGGCAGCATGAGCCCTGGGTCCAGTTACCACAAACATCTCTTGCGGCCGCACACTGAACGCTCCGTTGCAGTTAATGCCGTCATTGCCTACCACATAGTTCGGGTCCGCCAGTTCAAACTCGACATCCTTGAGGATGCTCGCCAGCACGTGGAAGGACCATTGCCAGGCATACCGCTTGCCAATACACTCGCGCTTACCATTACCGAAGCCCCTCTTCACACCCTTGGGGAGTCGGTCGAAATTCTCTCCGACCATACGCTCGGGTTTGAAGGCTTCGGGGTCTTCGAAAATGGCCGGATCACGATTCACAGCCGCCAGAATGGCGATCAGGGCCTGCTTCTTGGGAACTTCGTACTCACCACCGGCGAGCAGGACGGGGCCCTCGATCGAAGGGATAGGTTGGATATTGAAGCCGGGGGCGACGCCGGAGAGTCGGAAGGATTCCCGCAGGATAGCTTCAGTGTAGGGGAGGCGAGCAAGATGTTCATGTTCGATCCTGACGGAAGGACCACCGACCACAGTGTCCAGCTCCTCGCGAGCCTTGGCAACTGCGTCTGGGTTCTTCGCCAGATAGTACATTGCGAAAGCGAGTAGGTTGGGTGCCGTGGCGCTACCAATGAAGATATTGATAATCTCATCCAGCACCTGACTGTCGGTCAGTCCTTTACCGGTCTCCGGGTCTTTGCCCTCCAGCAACGCATAGAGCATGTCCTTCTTGTCGGTTGGATTGTCCTTTCGAGTATCAACGATGTCTTTTCCGTAGTCACGCATAGTCTTGATCCACGCTTTCCATTTACGATTGTAGAACAACCAGTTGAGTAGCCGGGGGCGGAGAGGTCGGCGCATCGCCTCATGGGTAGCACCGTCCATGGCTTTAATGACTGGAGGTTCAGGACCCTCCATGCAGTGTACCCGCTGATCGAAGAAGCAAAGCATGTTTGCGGCATGGTTGCATCGATCCAAGTCGTTCGTCACATCGACACGCTGCCGGGACCCCGCCGTCCATTTCTTGATCAGGTCGTCTGTTGTTTCTTGGATGCCGGAGAACACCTGCTCAACCGCTTCCCACGAAACCAGGGGCGCCATTATGCGGTGTGCGATACCCCATGCTTCCATTTCATCGTGATCTGCCGTGAACAAACTGTCGTTGACTGCATCGCGGATTGCTACGATGGGGCCTTCTACGCATTTGCGGAAGCGCGTTTCGTCGCAAATCTCTTCTAGTAGGTGGGCACCGGTAATAAAGACTATATCGCGACCGAGGATGGTGATTTTGAAGATGGGGCCTAGGGTACAGACACGTGGTGTTAGCTGTGCCCTGTCACAAAAGGCTCACTGAGACTCACGATAATCTTTGGCTAGCTTGTTGAAGGAGCCCCAGGCATTGTTACCATCGAGATCGAGGAGATTTCCCAGGATGGGAACACCTTTCGGCTTCGGGATCGGCGACGGCATGATGTTTGCTAGGTCAGGAAAACTACAGAAATTCTCACGGAAGGAGGGTCAGTTGCCGGAGGGTAGGCAATTTAAATTCCCTCTCCACCAGGTGCTCTGTTGGCCCATCCTCCACATTCATCCCTGTGCAAGCACCGGTACCAGTTGTGATTTGTGAAGATTCTTGTGTGGCTGCAGATCTTGGCTCAGCTGAATCACGCCGATTCGCGCGACGATCTCATAACAATAGTTGGTGAATTGATGGACTGGCTTGGGCCATCAGTCCACTGGCTGTCTCTTAGAGGTCCTAAAGCAGGATCGATCGTCGCACAGATCATGGTTCGTCTGGAGAGTGAGAGCTTCCTTGCTTGGGCTGGGGCCCAATGGGGAGTGCGCGCCCACTCAGAGTGGAACGAATGTCAGCTCGTGCCCCATTTGACGAGCAAAGGGGTCGTCGGTGTGGATGTTTTGTTTTGAGTTCGCTCCGCGACACGAGAGAGGATCTGTTCTGATTTGGTGGAATGCTGATCCACTGCGGCCGCGGACCGTCATGAAGAGGACCAGCTCTGAATAGCCGAAGTCTATACTCTGCCGCGTTTCCAGCCTTTTGGGTCCCGATCGGCAGGATGTTAACATAACAAAACACAGTGTTTATATCCCTGCACCGTGAGGGCATTGAATGGGCTGTTTTTCTCTGAGGGAGGAATGACTGAACAATGGTATGTACATATCAATCCTAAAAGGGGGAGGGGAAACCATACTCGACTTACATAAGGCAAGTCAAGTGAGGTCAGGTGTTTTGAATGTCCATCACCACATCTTTTGCCGAACGCTAACTTTTTCTCTGCAACCCATCCCCACAGGCTTGTCATTAGCGTCTTACACAGACCAATTCTCATGCAGCTTACTTTTCATCCCTCGCGACTCCGTACTTCGTGCGCCTATCACTAATTGAACGTCGGGTCACAGCACACCCGAGACGCCGTATCTCTGCTCAGGGGGGCGATATCTGAAATAACTTGGGGCCAACAGGATTGGAACATTTGAGGGCCAAAATAAGGTTCCAGTTGCAGATACAAGCGCCAGTTAATTGTCTATGTGGTGTTGATATGTGGGAGCTGAATCCAAGTTATGATACCACGCAGATCTACATGTCCGAGCACGCAACCCAAAACAAGCCAGACAAATACTGCTTTACCGCTGCGTCAAGAAAGATGATCATGTCGCAAACTCAACACGCCAATCTCAGATGTGAGTAATGCCTCGGTGGACTGTGGAGCACCACTGCATAATGGCCTTCCCAGCTGTCAAAGCGCCCCATATTATTGAGTCAGAGAAACTCTATTAGTTAACTAACCCTGGTGTTCGTCTCGACTGCTCCACTCCCAGCCACCATACCACATTTCGGTAAGCATGCGACACGTCTTGGCTACGCCTTCTGGAATGATTTGATTTCTTGGAATCAGCTTCTTCTTGCGATGTTCCCTATCCTACCAAGTAGATGCCAATGAGACAAATATATCAAAACTTGGGCTATGTAAACTCCATCAACACCTTCACCTGGATATGATTTTGTCCAGGTTTTGTCTGTCCATTGAAACAGTCCCGGACTGTCCTAATGTTCTCTTCGGCGGTTTCAAACAGAGAGAATTCGAATCTCCGCGGCAGCGTGGCTAGGGATAGGTAGAACCAAGCATGAGCCATACTAAATGTCTGAGTTAGCGAGTGTTGTCGATATCGAAGAAAAAGCATACTTTGGCCCCAAGCATCCTTGGCTTCCCTTTGAGAACGGCACGAGATACTTGTCCAAGTTCAAGCCGGTAGGGCTTGGTGTTAGCCACCGTTCAGGCCGAAAAACCAGTGGATCAGGGAATATAGCGGGATCCCGCAGAATGAAGTGGCTGGACATGCTCACTGGGGTCTGTCGTTTGTCCAAAGCCTCGTCAGCCAGCAAAACAGATGCTAGAATGATATGAAAGAGACACCATACTCCTGGGGGAATCTTCCAGTTTCTGAACTCCAGTGTCTCATCAGGCGCAATCCGCGGGAGACGTGATGTGACAACGGCAGAGACACGAAGCCCCTCTTTAATGACTGCAGTCTTATCCGAAGTGAGCCGTGGAGACCTATAACGGAGGGGTCCCTTTGCTCACCAGATACGGAAGTTTTTCAAGCATGCTCAAGCCAAGCCCATCTTGTAAATGTGCAGTCTTGTCCTGCAGCTCCCTACGTAGGTCTCGACAGACCAGCGGAGAGCGAACAACATGGAACATTGTGATGGCCAAAACCTGAGATGGAGCGTCAGTGCCGGCAATCATCAGAAATTTGGCATCGTCAGTCAGTCTATGTAATGTCCTCTCCTTCGGAGGTAGTTTAGGATTGTGCATAAGCTGCGAGAAGATGCTATTGTCCTTGACGCCATCCTTGTTTTTCGCAAACACGTATTGCATTTGGTGCTCTATCTCCTGAAGTCCATATTTATTAGTAACACTCAGGTCCACAGCAACAGTGCAACCAAATCCTCACAGGAAACTTACCTTCTCCATATAATCAATATACTGCACCCCAGGAGCGAGCAGCGCACTGACCCACAGAGGCAGGAACCGAAAAAGAACCACTAGCCAAGGAAAATGCCTCGTAAGAATGAGTTTGGCGAAGGTGCTATTTACGCCCTTCTTCCATCTGTCATCTAACCTTTCCCTCCTCAACTCTTCGAAGCACCCGCTCTCCCCGAATGCATAGGTCGAAACAACATCCACAGCAAACGACACGAAAGAAGTATGCAACTCCACTGCCTCACCAGTCCTCATCGCCTTCTCCATATGCCCACAGAGCAAATCTAACTTGCCCTTGATAACCCCCTCCAAGTCCCTGACAGCTTGCTTGGAGAGAAAGGGACTAATCATCCCACGCCGCAAGCGGTGGTGATCATATTCTGCGGTGGCGAAGGTCGAGGTCGAAGCTCCGACAGATAGAAACCAAAGGTACTTATCCCGTCGCTTTGTGGGGCCTGCATAGAGGGTGTTATAGTAGTCTGGGTCTTTGATATGGAGTTCGTTGGGGTTGATGCGCACAATAGGACCATACTTTCCGTGGAGACGGTCGATTTCCCACATGAACTGGCCACCGAGGAGAACATCAAAGAATACCTCGTACCAGCTGGTGACAGCGGCGAGAGCTGGGCCGGGAAATTTGGCGAGCGGGGAGAGGAAGAGACGGTAGATGGCTAGACTTGCTGTGTATATTGCAAGAGCTATGCATGTGGAACAGATCGCTTGGAGGAACGTGGGCATCATCTTCCGGTACGAGAGGTGTGGTGATAGCAGAATAATGGTAGTCTAGAAGAGTGGGTAGATATCCGGTGTCACTAATGACCACGTAGTATCGGGGACTTTATATGTGATCTTGACAGACTGCACGCAGGCTCTGTGTCACTACATATCTACCCAACTCGCATCATCTGCCCAAACCCGTCAGGGTTGGTTCTACTTGTTACGGTTCTTGATGACAGCTTCACCGGAGAAGAAGCAACTAAAACACCGTCTTCGCTGTATCCAGTGCCCGAGAAGATGTGTATAGGGCTTCCTCCAGGAGACGGAGACATTGTAGCCTTCCCTACAAACAAACCCCAACACAAGAAGCAAGAGAATGAAGGACCTTCAGAGAATATGAGAGTCACGGGTGGCCTGTCTTGCTGTCGGCAGGTTTCGCAATCTGGTAAGACAACTGACCGAGTAGGAAAGGAGTCAAGAAACACTGGACGTCAACCTCTGATGTACGTGTTCGTTGTTAAGCTTTTTTTTTTTTGCAGTAGGGTATAGATGTATACAATCCCGGGTCAATTGTCTTCTTGGTTCTGATATTGCCATCTCATCCAACCTGAGACACTTAGCCATTGATATACAGCCCAGCAACACCTTAATTTGCATTATAGATAAAAGTAGGCTGTAATCCAATCTACGTATACAACAGAGTATCCCATCTCAAGCCCTACCAGTAACCTTCTTTCCTGAACACGACACCATGAACACCACCAGTAACGTAGAAAAGGCAGTGTATATAAACAAGTGCCTTCACCTCTTTCCCGCCCATCCAAACCCACGAAAAGCCCACCAAACCATACCCAACACCTCACAGTCACCTTTCCCAAACCCAAAATCATCCCCACAGCGGAACCAAAAGCCTATGCGGACCGACAGATCATGCCATTATGCGCGAAAGTTAAAAGTCAGCCTTGTAGCATCACACAAAGTCTATTCACATTTCAACCACGTCATGACATTCTTTTTACCTTACTGTCAGCTTTGGATTCATGGGAACTTGCAAGATGTATATATCTGGGAGGGAAAGACTTTTGGGGGGAGTAATGGCTCTATTTGCTTGTTAATAATTCCTCGGTCTCTCAGTCTCTTGACAAACGTGTATAATCAACCACCAACCGCCACCACTCTATCACCACTATTACACCTCCTACATATCTGATAGTAAGACCAAGAAAAAGAAGGAAAGGAAAAGAGGGAGGGAAAAATGGTCGTCAAAGAAATCACCTCGTCCGTCCTCCCCGGCCGTTATCCCAACCCTAAAAAATCCGCCTTGCTAACATAAAGATTGCCCAACAGCTACACAACCCTCCAGAAAACAATCCAATCCCCGACGCCCACAGTCGTCGATTTCACAGCCGGCTGGACCGGTCCCTGTCGTCCGATGTTCTCGGCCTTTGAGCAGATCTCCCATACAACACCGCACATGGCGTTTTACCGGATGGACGTGCGGAAGTTGTCGGACGAGGAGATCGCCAAGCTGGGGATTGTGGCGATGCCGACGTTTATGGTGTTCCGGGAGGGGAGGAAGGTGAGGGATTTGGTAGGAGGTAGTCCTGGGGGCTTGGAGGGGTTTGTTCTCGAGGGGCATTGATTGCATTATGGTGGGAGGTGGTAGTGAGCATACGGTAGATCAAGGAAGAGAGAGAGTTCAACCTACTAAATTGGATAAGCAAACTTAGTTAGCATACAAAATGTATCTATAGCAGGTATATTAGCAGCGAATATATACATAATACACAGCCGTGAAGTCTAATCATGGCGATGCGCCGGTGTTTGCTCAAGTTCCTTGAGTATCCCTTTATGGCTCCGTTGTGTATCTATTTACCCAGTCTCTTATTCTTGAATTAGAGTTCATTTGTTGCTGCCTTGGTATCAGATTACCCTTCCCATTACATTTTCTGCCATTTTCCCAGATCCTTATAAAGTATTTTCAAAGGCCGTTTGAACCATGACAAAAGAGCAACCCCAACATACAACGCCTGGGTGATAGCCGAGTTATAGGCTCTCAATACCCCCCGTTCAGCATTTCTGGCAGTACAGTGTCCCGAAAGGTGGTCATTCTAATTGCAATATTCTCATGTGCGTTAGCCTGGGGAGCTTCCAGAGCCATAGTTCTTCACTAGTTGGCTCCGGAAGACGCTCTGTGCCACTGAAATAGCAACCGATCCCCCAATTGACTCCATGAAGGCGGTTATTGCCATGGCAGGAAGGATATCATCTGGCTCGAGTACAGCCTGAACATCAACCATAGACTGTGATAGCCCTAACCCTACTGTGGCCTTGTCCTGTTTCCGCCACTGCACGACAACAAAGATCGACATCAAGGAAGAATAGACCCACAAGATCGAGGTGCCATATAAGACACTTGCTCCCTCCTGCTCGCTTACTGGGCTGTTGTGCCTCGAGAAGGAAAAGGATAGCTAACGCCGTCCGTCCACCAAATGGAAGATTGATATAGAAGCAGCACCATCTCCCAAGTGAGATAATCAGTGAATACACCGCCAATAAGAGGGCCAGCCAACAGCCCGAGACAAATACAACACAGCCAGTTTCTCTGCAGAATCCGACGCCCATTCTCCAGGGGGCTCGCTGGCCAAGCGTTTTAGTTTCGGGGACTTTCCAACATGTCTACCCAAAAATAGAGGGTCATATGCAACGCTCGATCGCCGAGGATACGTCCGTCTCCTTGGCCTAGCAAATACATAAATTGGACTAGATTGGTAGAAAGTGTAGATTAGATGACATCGATGATGCCCCTTAGTTCGAGCTCGGACCAAAGTTCGCAGCAAAGAATGAGGCCAATGAAGTTAGTTCCGCACCGACCCCGTCTTTCCCCTGGGCGGTCGCTGCTAGTTTTTTCAGTTCCAGTGCTGTAGTGGTGGACGAAGGCTCGACTCCAAAATAACGACCTCCAGTAAGTTCTCCATAGGCAAAGAGCAACCGAGGATCCTCCAGCTCCGCCACTCCCTCCCCCAATGACTTCCATGAGGGCAAAGGAACGTATCGTGCTTTCTTCCCAGTTGCTACAGCAGGGCCCGGAGTTAGCCATGGTATCTCGATACACATACATAGACACAAGAAAAGCGCCGAGCCTACCTTCGGAGAAGATTCTCACGAATTCTTCCAACGATCGAGTCTCACTGACAGCTTGGACTGTCTGGTCCTTCCATTTGTGGGGATCGAGTAGGATTCCGTGCACCAGGTCACCAAAGTCATCCGCAATGGCGATAAACGGAGCCGCGTCATTATCTCCCCATCTGGGAAGATGTAGACTCAAGAAGCCCTCGGCATCCGGGTGGCATGGAAAACCCCGGTGGACCTGGGCCATAACGTCGGAGAGAAAAAAGCTCATAGTACCATCCGGCGTGAATGGTACAGACTGCGTCAAAACAACCCGTTCGTCTGGCATACTCCTCGATGCGAGCCTTCACTAAAGTTTCCAATTCAACCGGTCAGCTTTCCGAGTCCATTACTCGTTGACGTTTTCCCGTTTACGTACTGTCCATGGTCTTAATATGCATCTTCCCTCCTGTGGCCTCCCCTGCGGGTCTCATCGAGCTGAGAACCAGAATCCTTACATTGGCTGCTACGATACCATCGACAATAGATTTGCCCAGGTCGAATTCGGTGGGACCGTCCGGGTTTTGAAAGATCTAGTGTATTCGCTCGATTATTCCGTTCCGCAACGCGAACAGGACCGGGGAAGGCGGCCTACCGGATCATCCGAGTTGGTATTCACAAATGCCGCCCAGGAGCCTGAGAAGGCTTCCTGGATCTCATGGGCCATCCAGCCATCTGCCCTAGCGACCTCCACCCCCAAGCTCTGCAATGCCTGGCTTTTTTCGGAGAGCGGAGCCCGGGTAATGGCCCGAACCTTAAAATTGGACGTTTGGTCCCTTAGCAAAGAATGTACCACCGAGCTGCCCTGAAGCCCCGTGGCGCCAAAAATGGTGATTCGCTTCACGGCTGGTGCCATTAGATGAGATCGGAGAGAACTTGCGGAGACAAAATAATAATGGTAATGAGAGACGTCGGGTGGGTAAAATCGAACTCGTAAGTTCTGATATATGAAGAAGTCAAATCCAGTACAAGGTTGTCTACGCATGTGACTGCTCCCACGGCCTCGTAAGCCCGCAACCTTGCATTGATCTGGGATACCGATGTCTGGAAGTTCTCTGAACCCCTCTACAGAGCCCTTGTAGGTAGATTTATTAATCAGAGTTCAATAGCTATAGAAGCGATTGTTCTTGTGTATCCGGAAACCTCACAAATCATGTGAAACAGGGACCATATTACCAGTTAGCTATCTTGGCTAGATACGACTATCCTCAGTGACTAGAAACCACTAGTGATCAGTAACACATGGCTGAACGGAGGTCCAAAATAGGATAATAAAAGTACAAACCAAGTACTAGTCCAAAGGTCAGGCTAATTGAGTATGTATACTCGATTATTAGACAGTGTGAACAAGTTGAGCTGGGAACAAATCTTGAATGTAACTATCAAGTAGTTAACTTATGATAATTGATGATGAACTGACTTAGATACATGAATGAGTGTCATGATATATTCAGCTACAATGCACATGACTTCTTTCTCGTAAGCTGGTATCGGCGTCTCTGGCCCCTATAAGCTAACAATTCTTCTACTGTAACTCCAGAAATAAGTATACCAATAAGTAATATATAGTATCTAGTTTTTTCAGTCTTCTATTATAGAGAATATACTGTCATCTGTGTCGTCCGCTTGGCAGGTAGTTTAGATAAGTAATCTGTGGTTATAGGATACTTCTGGATCGCTTCAGTATATTTATGGAGCGCTCAGCACATGTACTTCTGCCTTTCCGGGATCAATTACTGGGTAAAAAGCGGCATTAATCTAGTTCTATTCCGGAAAGGAAGTAGCAAAACCTTCCGCACAAGTGTACAGGAGTATTAAATTGGTACTGTTTTGGGTTTAGAGAATCATTGACATGACTGGGAATATCTACGCCTAACATCTCTGGTACTGGTGGCACTCGGAGGTTATATATCTGGTATTATTGAGAGTATATATGGCAGGCGGTATAAACCATACCAGTCTATAAAGCATCTTGAATCACATAACCACGCTCGATTGGTATCTCAAAGGCTAAATAGCCGCAGAAGTTGATCATATCCCAGACTCCAAACTCCGTGAATGCGTAGATCGCTCGAATATTGCTTGCAAAATCATCATGGCATGTCGCCCGTCGCGCGAAAATCAAACATCATCTGACTATCCATCAAGACGAACGACTCGTATCGGAGACCCCGTTCCCGCTGATACGTGTCCGACCACACTGGGACGCTGCTGTTCCAGACGTGTCGGTATCCCTCGAAAAGCTGACGCCAGTAGCATGCTTCGGCGGCCTTCGTCAAATAGCGCTCCCGGAAGGTGCGCACGCTATTGTTGGCGATCCGCTGTGCCGTACTCGGATCGTCGAGGAGGGGTTCAATCTTGCTCGCAAGATCGCTGAAGTCTCGCTCAACCTCGATGTAGTTTTGATTCGGGCCGTCTGGTACGAGGAGATAATGATGGTGCTGGATATACTGCAATTTATGCGCCACGATTACCGAGTTGCAGGCCTGACGGTATTTCAGTGAAGCGGAGTATGAGCGGCCTAAGCGGTGGATCCGATTAGCACTCTGGTAACTACAACCAGTAAGAAAAAAAAAAAAAAAAAAAAAAAAAAAAAAAAAAAAAAAAAAAAAAAAAAAAAAAAAAAAAAAAAAAAAAAAAAAAAAAGAAGAAGAGCTCACCTTCAACGTGCGCGATAAACATATACCGGCAGTGGTCTTCCATCGACATAATGTTCGTCCGCTCAAACCAATCCACTTGCTTGACGTCACCCCACGGCTTATCCCGAGCGGCATCCATCAACGCGCGGCGCAGCTTGGGGGCAAAACTAGGTTTGCCGCGCCAAACCAACTGCGGGGTTTTCTCCGACCATGGAATATCGGCTCTCTTGACACGTTCGACGACTTGGTCAAAGGGTCCAATCGAATTTAGCGGGTTATCCCACGCCCAGAACCCGAAGTCGGGCATCAGCCAGACGCCTTGCTCAGAGGCAGACCGTGCAAGAACCCAGACTGGATTGTCGGAGCTCGTGACATCTTCGACCTTATCCTCCACCGAGAAAACAAACTCGATGTCGCGGCGAGCAGCTCGGTCGAAATCCGCGACCAGCGCGCGATGGATGGAGCTTAATGCCGCCACAATCTTTCGTCGATGATCCTCTTGCTTGGCCCGCGCCGCAACTACATACAGCTCGCCGCGAGAAATAAATGCTCGGGCCATCCCAAATCCTAAGGGAATGCGATCCAGGTCCTCGGTCGCAAGAGCGCCTTGGGACCGCCAAAAGCTCTCGGCGCGGAAGACATCCTCGTAGAGTCCTGGGAATGCGGCCTTGCACTGGGGTGTTGTCAGGCCCTCATTGTTTGCATCGCGATCCGAGTTGAATTCCCATTTCGGGGCGGAGGTCAGCTGCGGGACCAGACTATGCTCGGAGCAGGACAGGCAGGTCGAGCACTGGAAGGTCGTCGACGTTTGGCACGCACAGTGCCCGGCGGGGATCAGTTGGGTCAACAGCGGGTGAATATAGTCTCGATCGGAATTGACGCCATACCAGATGGCGACGATACAGGCGAAGCTCATGAATCCCACGAAGTAGAACAGGTAGAGGAAGCTACCTAATCGCAGGCGCCATCTCGAACAACTGGGTAGGGTCATCGCGTCGGCGAAGACGGAATGACGCGTGAATAGGTCGAGAGCATTGTAAGATAAAGAAAGAAGGAAAGAAAAGGAAGAGAGAAAGAGGGAAAACAAAATGGAGCCAAGGGGGAAGCGGGAAGGATAAACGAATGAAGCCAAAGGATCAGGGGCCTAGATTGACGGTGCGAAAGGCAATGACGCGGCGATGCTCTGAAACTTCCACGGCGGAGACGGTCAATCTTTCCGTTTCGGTCAATGATGGACAAGCTTTATGGAGCACCCCCTCGCCCGACCATTGGATCGTAGCTTTTTGAACATCATCGTCCCTGAACTGACTAACAGTATTCTCTGGGACTGGTCGCATTCATTACTGAGTTTGGCATGTCATGCTGGCGGGGAAATCCAACCAAAAACTGCCCCCAGACCAGATTTCCTGGTATGAAACACGAGCAAAAGAAGCCTGAGGCTAGGACTCAGCCTTGTTAGGGGGCCCCTGGCACTAAGCTACAACGGTTCAAGTATGGCAGCACCCCTGCGAACCCCTACGGGAGCGCCAGCTGGCAGCCAGTAAGACAACGAGACAGGCGCCATCAGGGCTCTCGTCCCTGGCTGTGACATGTATGACGGGCGTCAATGTGGCGCGGGTGACGACTCCAGGGGTACTCCATTGACTACGTACACAACATGTTGTATATCTCATCTTGCAGCATACAGAGTACATGACTGGAGTATGACACGACTGAAATAGAATCATCGGACGATACTAAATCGCCGAGCGCTGAAGAGGGAATCCCTAAAAGAGGTCATGGCGATGAAGAGCCGCCCGTGACGTAAAAAGGCCCCCCACCGTGACCCTGTTTTTTCGCTCCATTATGATTGGCCCTTGGCCGCTAAATAAGGGTATCCCCACCCGCCAAGACCTCCCTAACGTGGGCTGAGTTCAACGAGGTTGCCGGGGTTTTTCTTTCATTCTCGCCCCAAGGAGAAGAACTTCATTTCGGCCATGATCGGCTCAAACTTGCGCTGGACAATAGTATTTCTATCTAGCAGTCAAGAAAAGGGTGAATTGGCCGAGGTATCTCCGGAGCTCGCCGACGGTCTCACTGGGACGATGTATTCTTTTAGGACCTTTAAATAGTGAATATTTAGTTGTACAAAGTACCGTAAATTACTTTTTCGAAGACCTGTAGACCAAATACAGTCCAGAGTGAAGTAGTCACGAAATTGCAACTCTCGCAACACGACAGAATGACAGGGATCCTGCCTTCTTGATTTCCCCCTGCTTCTTGTTTGTTTTGGTTTGGTTTCATCCCCATTGGGCGTGACAAAACATGTGACTTGGAAGGGCTCCTTGCAGCGGGTGAAATGAACCACCTCAAGGAACTCGATGCTTATTTACGCCTCCCGAGCTCTGTATGGCCGCACTTCCCGGTGGCGCCTTTTACCTTCAGATAAGGTTACGTCTAGAAAGCGTTTCATGTTTCGACGATGTTGGACATCTTCTCAAGTCACCCGGTCGATTTCGGAGATCCCATCGTTGGCTTCAGCATGTCTTACCCGAGCGTTCACAAGAAACAACCGATATGATTCAATGCGAGGAAGACAGATATAATGCTGGGTGGGTTCTTACCCGCAAACTATTGGCAGCTACCAAAGTCTTTATCGCAACGAGCCACACATTGGTGATTCGAAGGCGAAATTCCAGTGCTGCATTCATGTTCCTCAGATCCAGATACCTACTTCGGGTCCATGGGATGCAAGGGGTGTATATCGCCCTTGGAATAGAAAGAAAAATAATTCAATGATCGACAAAAAAAATGGAATTACATGTCTCATTCCGGCCGCTCTTATGAGCTTCAAGGTCGATACTGTCATCTGGTTTTTCTTTCATCTTGCCCATAAAGCAGTCTGACTACTGTATAGTAGTTTCAAGATCTCTGGGACCATGCACACAAGCAGCGACTCTCAGAAGGTACCTTCTGCCACGGGCGATGCCGCAAGCAGCAGTGGCAATATCTCGGAAGATAATCACACGTCTATCGAGTACACGGAAGAAGATTCCTCGGAGTTCCCTGATGGCGGGTGGCGAGCTTGGTCAGTGGTCTTAGGATCATGGTGTGCGTTGCTTCCAAGCTTCGGTCTTATGAATATCACGGGGATTCTAGAAGAGTGGCTGGCAGACCACCAGCTGCAGAACTATTCTAAGGCATCAATCTCCTGGATCTTTAGTTTATGGCTCTTTCTCTTTTACCTCGGTGGCATCCAAACCGGTATAATACCGTGACGCTAGCGCTCTACACATAAATGGTACTAACTGGTGCGCGACAGGGCCCGTCTTCGACTCACACGGTGTTAAGTACACTCTGCTTCCGGGATGTGTCGGTTTCACAGCATCAATAATGATACTCAGTGTCGCACAAGGTAATGTGGACCAGCTCCGGTTCCCACTGCCGTCCTATTGACGGTGTGAAGCATACTACCAGTTCATCCTCGGGTTCAGTGTCCTTGGCGGTCTTTCCGCATCGGCCATCTTACCGCCAGCGTTCGGCACCATAAATCACTGGTTTTACAGGCGTCGGGGCCTGGCTACAGGAGTCTCCTCTACCTGCGGTGGGATCGGGGGCATCATATTGACATATATCTTCGGAACACTCCGAGATCGAATTGGATTTCCTTGGGCGGTTAGAGTGCTGGGTTTCTTGTTTCTGGGTTGCTTTATCGTTAGCTTGTTTTTGACCAGGACGAGACTGCCTTCAAATAACTCCAAGAGCTGCACGATTGACCTTCGCTCCCTGCGAGAACCGGCATTCACAATGACTTCCCTCGCCGTGACCGCCGCAGAAGTCGGCCTGATGGTTGTCATCACGTACCTGCCTTCGTATGCCTCGTCACATGGGTTAACCGGTTCCCTATCGTACGAGCTGATGTCTATCTTCAGCGCTACATCGATTCCCGGCCGAGTTATCCCAGGCCTGCTAGCTGATCGCTGGGGCCGGTTCAACGTTATGATCGCTACTGGGTCCGTTTGTACGATATTAATCCTTGCCCTATGGCTTACGGCCAACGAGAGCAAAGCAGCGATTATAAGCTTCGCTGCCTTTTTCGGCTTCTGGGCCGGTCCGGCTATTAGTCTGTCGCCAGTGTGCGTGGCCCAGATCTCTAAGACAGGGGACTATGGCAAACGATATGGGACGACGAATACAATCATGGCTCTCTGTCTCTTGGTGGCTATTCCCGTCGCGGGGGAGATTCTCAAGGTGCAGAATCCGTCAACGCATCAGGAGACAGTGTATTGGGGGCTGATTGTCTTTTCCGGTCTGTCATATGCTTGCTCGACGCTGTTCCTGATCCTGGCCAAAGGTGTCTCTGTGGGATGGACTGTGACTCGTATATTCTAAACTACCGAGTGTTAGCTTTTCGATCCACTCCATATACTTCAACACGAGGTCAGCCTGAAAGATTAGAGTGGCTTTCCAAGGTACACTGGCCTTTTACCATACATATCTAATCTTGGTCTTTTTAATCTCACAATTTCGCTTCTAGTCTCTCTCTCTCCCAATGGCTTGCACACTTGCACCAGTTACTAAGCTGATGGATGGCTAAATAGGTCGTACCGTGCCCTCCATGTCACTTTAACAATTAAAGACACATAGTCCGCGTAAAGAGAAAAGAAGGTCCAACCCATTGGGATTGAGGTCTGCCTTCGGATGTAAGTAAGATCCAGCCAAAATATTAAGGAACCTGCCATGAAGGTAGTTTCTATCGCCTTCGCATCGGTGTCCTACCTTGATCAGTAAGTCAGTGCCGCCGAATCTCAGAGGCAGAACATATTTCTCACTCCAAAACCATTGAATTAAGCTGCGGCAAATCCGCTCCGGTAGATGTCGAAGTCGCATCCACTGCGACTCATGAATACAGTATTTTCGGAAATCGGTGTCGTCCCCCTACACTCTTTCATTGTTCCCCGAACAATGTTCGTGTTGATCTTCTGTGGGGCGGATACTGGCACAGCACTGCCTCTCCAGCCGCAGATCCATTGAGCGCCAGATGATTCCTGTTTAGGAAAGGTTTGCAGTAGCAGATGAGGTCACGGGTGCCTTTCAGACAACCTTAAGCCCTGGCAGTCCAGAGCACCAGAGACCCTAAGCCAACTTAACTGAAGTGGTGCATGCAAGTCGTGAGTGGGGTCGCCTTGCCCTGTATGGCGTCACTGTCAGCCTTATCAATGATCACCGGAACCAGTATCACCACGAGGCGCAGCAGATCGATCAATGCAACACGGAACATACCCATCATCTTGAGCGTCAGCATATGCCTGTGGATATATATCAGTGAAGGTAAATCTGCAAATTAAATCGGCCCTTCATCAAAAGTCATACTTGCTATCTGACCAAGCTTTCATTCCGCAACACCGAAATCCTCAAAAACAACCAAATCCCAAACTTCAAGAACCAAGCGCAATGGGTATATTTACATGTTCACGAAAGTCAAGGGCGAACCCTTCCAATCCAATGGGTGACTGGAAGTCCCAGTCTCCCCCCGACTACAATGAGGTCGTTGCATCCGATGCCGCTAGCAACCAATCCTCCTCCCCGGACGGCTTTCTCGCCACAAGCGAGTTTCAGGTAGAAGCCCTTGGATACGACACCAACCAGGCACTCAGCGGCAAATTTCTGGAGAATATTTCCGTCTACAGCGTGGAATTCGGAGCACCCACACAGGAAAAGTACACCTCTATCCGCCTAAAGAGCAGTTCCAACTCGTGCGCGTTGGTGCGCCCATCCGACCCACGTCAGAATGCTCTCATTTCAACCATCTATCGTTGGGGCCCTGGAAGGCACCCCAGGATGCGCATTCTACCCCGCGATTCCAGTGTTTCGGTTGAGCAGGCCATCGACGACGATAAGGTGTGTGGAGAATTGGTCGACGTGCAAAGCCGGTCGATGGTTAGCCGTGCGCAGGTTTTCGACACGTCACTTGGCAAATACGAGTGGCGCTACGGGAGTCGGGAAGAAAGAAAAGCCTGTAACGCAGATTCGCTGCTGATTCTGGAGCGCATGGATCGCGTCGTATTAGGGGATGGTACCACGACTAAGAGCGGCGCCAGAGTCGCTCAGCTTATTCGAAACGACCAATTCCGCACCCGCGGCTCGGCTAGGTACTCCGGAGGGAATGGTGGTCGCTTGGTGATGGATCTGCGCATGTGGAAGGATGAGAAGCATGCCGACACGGACGGCGTAGAGGCTTTCTTTGTGGCGAGTTGTATCTTGATGCTGAAGAGAGAGGCAGATCGTTTCATCGATAATAACATCGTCGCCGTGACATAAGCGTGACGGTGCCCCTTTGCGAGGCTCATTTGGCTTGGAGTTGAAGTACTTTAATGATTTACTTTCTATATAATATACATGGTAGCTTGATATGAATATTAATTTAAATGTTTCTCCAAACATCAATGATTGCACAGCGGTGCCAAGAACGTCTATACTTTGACTACTAGGGACGTGCCAGACACGGCAGACGCGCTTCAACTGTCGAGATGTTGAACACTAGAAGAAGCGCCCTCCCCAGGTAGGTGGGATCCTTGCGTGAGCGGAACGCTTACCGACTACGTTAGTAAACCATTGATTACTCACTCGTACATATAGTATAGTATAGTAGTAAAGAAGACCAAGATATTCAACTTCGAAACTCGAACACACATTAACGTGATTTAATTCTATTACCCTAAGGAGCGGATCAACTATCTCACAAAAACGGTAGCGACAGACAAATCAGTAGTGAACCAAGGAAAAGGAAAAGCAAGCAGACGAGCGCTAGGGCCGGTTGAGACCAGCATGGGCAGAAGTTATTAAAACAGATAGAAAAGTACCCGAGTACTCTCCATGGCTAGGTGGGCGGATTAAGTGACCGGCATTTTGTCATCTTCGATGCGCCTTTACTCGAAGTCCTCGCAGTCCTCAGGAGAGACAGATACGGAGACTTCGCAGTCGGCGCAGTCGTTGGGGCCGGAAGCGTTGGCTGAGGCGTGGTTGCCGCTGGACGAGCCGGAGCTGGAGCTGCTCGAGGAACTGCTGGAGGAGCTGCTGGAGGAGCTGCTGGAGCTGGAGCTGGAGCTGCTGCTGGACGACGAGGAAGAGGAGGAAGAGGATGAGCTGCCAGAGGAGCTGCCGGAGGAGTTGCCGGAGTTGTTGCCAGAGTTGTTGCCCTTCTCGCAGACTTCGCAGGGCTCGGTGCCGGAGCTGGGAGGAGTACCGCTGCCGGAAGGAGGCTTACCGCCAGTGGGAGGGGAGCCGCCAGTAGAAGTACCAGTCTCTTCGCCAGTGGTGATGCCGGTGTCAGTGCCAGAGCTGGGGGGAGTACCGCTGCCAGTTGGGACATCACCGGTAGGGGGAGTGCCGCTAGTAGGGGGAGTACCGCTGGAAGGAGGAGTGCTGCCAGTAGGGGGAGTGCCGCCAGTGGGAGGGGAGCCACCAGTAGAAGTGCCAGTCTCTTCGCCAGTGGTGATGCCGGTGTCAGTGCCAGAGCTGGGGGGAGTACCGCTGCCAGTTGGAACATCACCGGTAGGGGGAGTGCCGCTAGTAGGGGGAGTACCGCTGGAAGGAGGAGTGCTGCCAGTAGGGGGAGTGCCGCTAGTGGGAGGGGAGCCACCGGTCTCTTCGCCGGTCTCTTTGCCAGTTTCAGTGCCAGAGCTGGGAGGGGTGCCGCTGGGGGTGCTGCCGGTGGGGACATCGCCAGTAGGGGGAGTGCCGCTAGGAGTGCTGCCAGTGGGAGGAGTGCCACCGGAAGGAGGAGTGCCGCTGGAAGGGGGAGTGCTGCCAGATGGAGGAGTGCCGCTGGAAGGAGGAGTGCTGCCAGATGGAGGAGTACCGCTGGAAGGAGGAGTGCTGCCAGATGGAGGAGTGCTACCAGTGGGAGTGCCGCTGGTAGGGGGCGTGCAGGAGCTGTCGTCTTCCTCGCAATCTGCATCACCGCCGCTGGGAGGGGTGCAAGAACTGTCGCCTTCCTCGCACTCTGTATCATCGCCGCTGGGAGTGCAGGAACTGTCACCTTCCTCGCAATCCATATCACCGCCGCTGGGAGGAGTGCCACCAGTAGGGGGGGTGCTTCCCGAGGGAGGAGTACCACCAGAGGGAGGAGTACCACTAGAAGGAGGAGTACCGCCAGAGGGAGGAGTACCGCCAGATGGAGGAGTACCGCCAGAGGGAGGAGTACCACCAGAGGGAGGCGTACCACCAGAGGGAGGAGTACCACCAGAGGGAGGCATACCACCAGGGGGCATACTACCGCTGTCAGTGCTGCCGCCAGAGGTGTTGTTGTCCGAGTTCGAATTCGAGTTACTGTTCGAGTTCGAGTTACTGTTCGAGTTCGAGTTGCTGTTGGAATTCGAGTTGCTGTTCGAGTTCCCGTTGCTGGAGGACTCATCATCACAATCCTCGGAACTGCTGTCAATGCTGACACCCATGTCGGAGCCGGTTCTTTCGCCAGCTGCACATTCCTCACAAGAGCTTCCTCCCTTAAGCTGTCCGATCCAGTTGATCAATGGGCCGAAAGTCCGAGCAGTCAACTGACCATCTCCAGCCGGGTTGGAAGCCTCAAGAACCTTCCCAGGGACCGTCGAAGTACGGTGATAGGTAGAAGGAACAGTCACCGGGACTGCGAGAGCTGTTGCCGTCAAGGCAACAGTAGAATAAACGAGACGCATGTTGAAAACAAAAAAGGAAAGATAATAAAGATCGTAAAATAGTTTTTGTGAATAGAAAGCGAATGAAAAGAAGAGAGAGATGCTGTCGAAGCTGGGTTGGATGAGGAATTGCTGCTGGAGGTATGTGAGGCTTTATATACGTTTGATCCCGCCCATTTCCAGCATTCAGCTGACTTTGGCAATGGCATTTGGTCGGCAAGGTTGCATTGCAACAGCTCTATTCGGGATAAACGTGATGGTTAAGGTGTAGATCCAAGTTTCAAGCCGAGACAACCTCTTTAGCCTCAAACCTTTAGTAAAAACTCAATTGGCCAGTGGCGACACGGAGCTAAGCTATGTGCTTCTTCCAGAAGCACATGTCTGTGCCAGTGCATCTTCGACAGCTGGGCTGAACTGCTGTGCCATCAAGGATGAGGAAACATCGTCTCCCTTGTCCTCATGGTTCTTACAACAGACATTCGCATTTCTGTATACAATCCCGTATAGAACCACACAAACGCTGGCGAACCATCCTATCCTGTAGGCGAAAATCGCCGTCCAAGTGGATCCCTATAGTGCCGTGCTCAGTGGTAAACTCGAGCTTCCGAAACTCTTGGCCTTCCTAGTTCCTGACTCGAGAGCCCAGACCAGGCGGTGGTTCTTCCCCCCGAGTGAGTCTAACCCGGGGGTAGATCATCTGGTCCTGGTGAACCGTCACCATGAGGTCCATAAATGCTGTTTACTATAATTAGCAGCACTCTCTAACTGCCCTAAGCACTTCTTCAGACCATCACGGTGGGTGTTATGACTAAGAGGATGTAACCTTTTCAAAGCATCAGACAGAGAATGTCAAAAGTCAAACTTGAAACTGCACTCGGATAGCACGGCATTTACAATGTGCTCGGGGGTCTTATTCACAATAGTGTCTGCTCACGTTATAATCCGCATTGCTTCTCGAATGGTATCAGGTCACATGAGCAGATATGCAACAAAAGCAGAATAACAATCACAGCCCTACAAAATCAACCGAAACCCCCATCGGAAAACAACATACTGCAAAGCCCCAGAAATGATAATAATTGATAACCAAATAAGAGGAAAATAAACCCTTCCCCAAACTCAGAAACCCCTACAGTTGAACCCGCAACCCCGAACTCCACCCAGGAACCACCCCTATTCCATATATAGATAGCCCTGAAACCAAGCCCCCGATCGCCTAGAACAAGGCCAAGAAAACCCCCCGAAGGCTCAAGCATTTCGCCTGTTTTGCACAGAAAAAAAAAAAAAAAAAAAGTCCTCGAAGAGAGCCAAGACCCCATGGTTTCACGCTTGCCCTACCAACAGGCACTTAGACCCGAATCGGGATTCGGGCTGTCCTTCTGCGACGGGATCGGCAAACAGTGGGGTTTCTTATGTTTGGGGAAAGTTTATTTTTCATATTTTTTTGGCATTTGGGTGGTATTTAACTAGCTTTGGATCGGATACAGTTTCAGGGTTGGGAGTTGTTAGTTACTAGCCGTACCTTGGTAGACCGTTGTCGATCTGTCGGAACTTTGGTTGTTGGTGTGATTTCAGGGCTTCTGGTGATGGTGATGGTTTTTTTTTTTTTTTTCTTTGGTATGGAAGGCGTATTTGTTGTTGTAGGCGAGGGTTCGTTCTAACTTTTGAGGTGATTACCTACTGTCTACTCTCTACGTGTATTGGTTTTGTACAATAGGAGTATTTATTCATTTAAGATGTTAATACCGTTGGGGAGATCTAGACACTCATACTATAAGCTAGACCAGCCCTATATCACAAGCTCCCGTGAAACCTCACCACCAAGGATCGGCACATCAAATCTTCGTATACGGAAACTCCTGCGCTGGATCAATCATCCCCGTCTCAGCATAGTACACCTCCCAATGTTCAATCAACCTCTGCAAAATCTCCGGCTCCGAGTCCGCCCGATCATCCACCTCCCCAGGATCCTCCTCCAGATGATACAACTCCCACCGATCCTTCCCCCTCGGTGCAGTCATATAGAGCGCCTTCCACGGACCCTGCCGAATAGCCCGTCTCCCAAACAACTCCCATCCCGTAATATAACCTCCCTGGTCCTCATGAAATTCTGCCGTCTGGCCCGCAAGATGCGGCACCCACGACGAACCTCGCACAGGAACAACCTCCCTCCCTCTAAACTGTTCCCCGGGAAGAGGCACGCCCGCTAGATCCAGAATCGTCGGGAAAATATCCATGACCGTTGCAAACGAGTCAGTCTGCCCGTTCCTAACTCCCAGCGGCGGAAACCGCACCACACACGGACACCGGATGCCACCCTCCGTGATCCAGGTCTTGAATCCGCGTGAAGGAGCCATAGCCGCGCTGGCCCACGCCGGACCGTACCAGACAAACGAGTCGGGGTTGCCTATATTCTCCAGCGAGTTATCGTAGTACTTATCGATGATGGCCTTGATGTTGCCCGAGGGGCCCATGACGGGCAGGGCTTCAAGCATTGCACCCTCGGCGCCGTTGTCGGACATGAACAGGATGAAAGTGTTGTCTAGTTCGTCGGTTGATTGGAGGTGGTTGATGACTCTTTGGATGTTCTGGTCGATGAGATCGACCATTGCGGCGAAGACTTCCATTTTGCGGGCTGAGTCGGCGCGTTCCTCGTCGCTCAGTTTATTCCAGGCCCAGTCGTCGCTTTCGAGGGTTATGGGCGCCGCATTGACGTCTTTGGGCACGCGGCCTAGTTGGATGAGCCGTTCTAGGCGCTTTTGGCGGAGGACTTCGGGGCCTTCGTTGTAGAGGTCTTTGTATTTGTTGATTAGCTCGCGCGGAGCCTGGAGGGGCCAGTGGGGTGCTGTGAAGGGGAGATAGGCGAAGAAGGGTCGGCCGTCGTCGTCTTCCCTGGAAGTCAAGTATTGGAGTAATTGATCTGTGAAGGTTGTAGTCGAGTAGAAGTCCGAGGGGATGTCGGTAGTTCGGTCCAGGAATCTGTCACCTTCCATCCAGAAGGCGGACGATTTCAATGGGGCCAGGAAGCCATCTCCAGCATGTTCCAGCTGAGGCTCATAGTTGAAGTGGTTTCCGCATCCAGCCAGGTACGAGAAGTTCTTCTCAAACCCGCGAGAACAGGGAGCGATCTCTTTCTTCAGTCCCAAATGCCTTCCCAACTGATTAGCTTGCTATAAACCCTTGGCGCATGGACTGGAATATACGTACCATTTGCCCGACATGGCCGTGAAATAGCCGGCGTCCTGCAGCACCTCAGACAAGGCGGCTACTCTCCAGTTGAGGTATCCTTCATATCCTGGCTTGCCTTGGTATTGTTTGGCATTTCTCATGTGTTCGGCCATCTGGCCCAGCCCGGCAATGTGATTGTCGGTGCCGGAGAACAGCATAGAGCGAGTCGGTGAACAGGCTGACGCGGTGTGAAAATTGGTTAGGCATGTTCCTGTACGTGCCAGAAAATCAAGTGCGGGAGTTTCAATTTCCGATCCAAATGGCTTGGTGTCACTGTATCCGAGATCATCGGCGACAATGATGAGGAAGTTCGGACGGCGAGTTGAGCCCATATTGTAGTTACAATTGATGCACAAGAGTGGCCAGAATTAGTGTGACTACTAAAGCTATCAATTGGTACGAAGGACAAATACTCGCATCGTTCATCAGGTCGCCCGATTATATATTTATCATGGGACCGGAGCGCTCCGACATATATTGATCGAGGGTACGTAAGACGTCTCCCCGCTGTCGGCGATTGCGCCATCGCTACTTAAATTATTTGCCCATTCAAACCAATAAGAAAGATGAGGGGAATCCGGTAGGATAAGTGAGATCTCAATCCACTGGAAAGAATAATTCCATTTGTCTACTCAGTCTTGGGGACAGAAGTACCTTATGCAACTCTCTCCAACATCACAATTCTGTCGACATGAACGAGACAAAAGCATCATCATATACGCCAAGAATGCAATGGAACCCTCCATAGATCGCAGGATCAGTGAACAAAACCGGGTATAATTCATCCAAACGCCCAACTGCAATGCACCCAAAACCAGCCGTCTAAACATCAAGCTACAATCATTGTCTAGCGTTAGTTCTCAACGCCCTCGACCCTCGACGACGACCCGCAGAGGGCTCCGGTGTATCGCTGGCCTCCACCTCGGGACTTAACATAGGTCGTCGTCTGCTCCGGCCGCCTCGGACGTGGCTCATCGCTTGGCGCAGAAGTCCATCTGCCTCATCGTCCAATTCCATCTCCACCTTATCCTCCAGTGTCTCAGAGCCGCCCCTCAAATTGTGAGAATCGACCTGGGCAACTTCGTCCGTCCATTCCTCTGAATACTGCTCTTCGGGGATAGCGCGTCGCCTGGAAACTTTGCCCTTCCCTTTGTCACGCGACGACCGGTTGGAACTCCGGCTGCCGCTTCCTGCCCGTGAGACCTCTTCGGACAGCGTCGCGTCAGCCTCGTTACCCTCCAGCGCCCAGATCTCCAAGGCTCGAGAGAGTAGTGTTCCCGCAACACCGGCACCAGCAGCAGCGTCACCACCCCCACTAGCCCCCAAGACGCGAACGGCCTCGTGGAGAGCGGTGACAGCCTCCACTGTCCGGCTGAGTTCGAGTAGAATAAGGCCGCGAGCTGTATGGAGTGAGCCAATCAAGCCGCGGTCCTCGTAGCCTCCAACACCGGACGACGCCGCGCCAGAAGCATTGCCTCCACTTCCTCCTAAAAATGGGGTATACCCGAAGCTAGCACCCGCAGCACCGATACGAAGACACTCATCAAATTCAACTAGTGCCTCTGTAAAACGTCCAATACGACGCAGAGCGTGGCCCAGGTTCGCTCGTGTGGCCACCCATGCTCCTGGCTCGCAATTGAGAGAGGTGGCAAGGCCGAGAGCTTGGCGAAATAATTTTACCGCAGGCTCAAGATGATTTTGATGGTAGAGTACGACTCCCAACTCATTGAGTACCAATGGATCGCCGCCCAGAGAGGACGCTCCTGTGGATGGGGTGGGAGGGAGTGCGGGAACCGAGCCAGACGTTGCGCCGGTCGACATTGCATAGGCTGCAGACAAGTATTCATGGGCGAGCGACATGTTATTCAAGGCTAAATGCTGCATGCCGAGGAACAGTTGCGGCAAATGACTTCCCTGGAAGAGTCGGGCCGCCGTACTATAAGCCGCAATAGCTTGATCATGCTCTCCTTCAGCAGCGAAGGTGTGAGCAAACCCAATCCATGCTGGCGCCGAATGGGGGTCTAGCAAAGATGCTTTCGAGAAGAATCGTCGGGCTTCCGCTACTTTAGAAACAGAGAGGTAGTAGACGCCAATGGCTAAGTAGGTATAAGACTCTTCTGGAGCATGATCCGCCAGCGTGTGAGAGAGAAGGAATAGCGCATTGGTGGCACCAGTTTCATATAAGCATGCCAGATGTAAGGGGTACACGGCAGGCGCATGGCCCAGATGGTTCTGGGCTGAAATGGGGGCAGTCGTTGCTGTTAGCGCCGTAGATGACTGGGAGGTCGACAAAATAGACGAAGTCAGCTCTAGCGCCTCTGCGAAGCGGCATTGAGTATACAGGGCCTCGGCGCGTGAAAGCAGTATATCCGGATTTTGTGAGAGGTTGTAGTGCGTGGACAGGGTTTCGGTTGCGTCGGAAAGAATTGCAGGGGACGAGTATTTGGATAATCGGGTGGTATAGAGCATCTTCGTAAAATGAGCGGCTTCCTGAGACACGGATGGGTCCGGACTGGAGATAGAGTCAAAGTCAAGTGATTCCAGAAATTCGAGCTCCTCCGCAGGTGACATTAGCGAGTTCTTCATCAATTGATCGAACGCCTCGAAGCACTGGACATCAATGCGCACAGCATCCTTGTAGCAATCACGGGCGCGGTCAAATGCATTCTGCTTGGCGAAGCAAAGCCCCCTCAGATAGCACATTGCGGCCTCGAAGCGAATGTTACTTGCATCCTCCCGCTCTCGCTCTTCGCCGCGATCAATCCGCGAAGCTGTGGTTTTCCCGTTGCGTAAAGTGACATGGCTTTGGCTGTTTAGATGCTGGAGCTTGCGACGACTATTACTGTTGTTGCTGCTGCGAATCAGGTGAGTCGGGTTGTGGTCGCCGAGTATTGATAGAGCCTGCTCGAACTGGTTTTGCTTTATATAACAATGCGCGGCCAGGTAGCGACAGGCGGTACTTCTGGAAATCAAATCCTTCCGTGATAGGAGAGCCAAAGCTCGGGTGAAGTTGTTATTCGAGAAATGTACTTGAGCCAACCAGAAGGCATCTGAGTCGCTATCTGATCAAGTAATATGCGTTAGTCTTGAATAATTGCAGCGCGAGGGCAAAGGATCAACAGACTAGTTAACGCAAGCACTTTATCACCGATGTAGACTGCCGCATCATGTTGGCCACGGTTCAACGCATCTTGCCGCCAGGAGCGAAGAAATTTCTCCATGGCACCAGTTGTTATGCGCTTTCGAGTAAGGGCGAGAAGGATTCAGGGAAGGTCGGAGTTGTGGCAGTGAGGCATGGGGTCTGGAGGGGCGATAAAGGATAGGCGCATTCGTTGGTTCCTGGTTCCAGGCACAACCGCCAAACTTTTCCAGAAAAGTTCTCGGATACAAGTGCCCAACAAAGCGACGATGATAGCTTCTCCAGAGAAACAACTGGCCCAGTGTACGTCCAACAAAGGAGAGAGGGAGAGAATCCAGATTGGAATCTATGGATGCGATCCGCGGAATTGCATGTTTGACTGTTTTGTTTGCTTGTTTTATGCTTCCCAAAATGGCGCGTCACTGGGTCTGTGCGCTTACCTTATCGGGTAAGAGGATATCAGCTTCTTCTTTATTGCATACAACGAATTAAGACAATTGACTCATGCATGTGGCAATAATTTGAATTGTTTATCCCCTCAATGGTGGTTCACTAGCATATAACCATACTAATCTGTCTTCCCACTTTATCTTACAGTCACGAGCGAGGGAACCATGCCTATAAAAGTTGATAGATCGCAATCCTGTAGACCTATAGAAGCATATGTGCAAGGGCTCCGGGGAAAGCATTTACACTAAATATAGTGGACTACACGCATATACCTCAAGCTCACCTATCTAACTGAAACCATGTTAGGGCTGTCAATGTACTTGTGCTTCAATTTGGGTTACTTCCCCATAGTTCCATACACCATCAATAGAGAGTTCACACCAAATGAATGGAACTACAAGGTACAATCATCAGACGTGTATCTATCTCTCAAGCGAAGTATATCATTTGAGCCCACTGTTCCCAGCTCCCGACTTTTAGTTCTGTTCAAATGACCCGGAGGTTACTATGAAACCTGAGTGGTAGTAGTGGTACTATCGAAGAGATTGACGTAAAAGGAGGAACAACCGGGGGTGGAATGTTCCGCATACTAGAAGAGTTAGTAAACAAAAGGTTGGGCTTTGTATACACTGCAGTGTAGTGTTCACGAAAGCACACTCCAACATTGTTGATAGCTAGGGTTAAGATTACAATTTTATATTTCTAGAAGGTCTACCTATAGTCATGTGCCAGCTGGTTTAGATTTATCAGTAGACAAGAAAGGAGAAATCTAGACATAGACGAACGTATAACAGGAGATCAAAGGGAGAACACCAATATTGAGGAAAGCCATACAAAGCAAACCCAGACTCTCAGATGCATAACGCTGATGCCTGTGAAGGAAAAAAGTATTGCCTGGCAGAATAAGTTGATCACTCCGTCAGTTGACAGATTGAAAAGTGTATCTTTTAGCAAAAAGAGTATCTAAGCGTAGTGTTTCAGCAAAAGCGATTGTTTTCTCGTTAAAAAATTCGTAGCTATAGAGTTTCTGAATGGACGTTATACTAGACTCTGTCCATTTTGAAATGGGTCTTTTCAATTGAGATATCCACCTCGCAATAAGCAAGGAAAGAATCTCCTTTGCTCGGTCGGGGGTCTATAGGGACATTTCAGTGACCGCTTTTCTATGAAAGTTAATAAGTTAGATTGAGTAGGCGGTAGGAGAAAATGCAGGCGAAACTCGTTTTCAAAACAGGAATAGTCGAACCAAAGCATGCCAACTAGTGCCTCCCACGTGACAAATATCAAGCTATCGTCGTTCATCACCATCATCCAAGATATTGTCCCCTCCCAACAACGACGCTACCAACTTTTATACAGCGATCAAACTCCAATTAAGCCTCCAACACAGCACCCGCAGGCCCAAAAACTATAATAAAACACCGTCAATATGTCTGAAAGAAAGGTCCTTTCGAAGGTGAGCTCAGCAACACTCCGGAACCTTCTCCATAATACAATTAAACACACACCCCTACGAATCTCATGATATACCTAACATGTGTTTAGTACTATCCGCCAGACTTCGATCCAAGCGCAATCACCCGCACAAAAAACAAACAAACAGGGCCCAAGGTGATTACCGTTCGACTTATGGCCCCATTCTCGGTATGTTTTTACATGGCCCCCTTTCGCTTTGATCACCTATTGGAAGCCAGCTCATTCTCATAGATGAAATGCACGCAATGTGGAGAATTCATTTATAAGGGTAGAAAATTCAACGCGCGCAAAGAGACGACAGAAGAGAAATACTTCTCTATCCCCATTTATCGCTTCTATATCCGATGCACGAGATGCAGTGGCGAAATTACGTTCAAGACGGACCCGAAGAACATGGATTACACGGCGGAGAAGGGCGCGAAACGGAATTTTGAACCGTGGCGGGATCCGAAGAACGAGACGTATAACGAGACGGAGGAGCAGTTGCTAGATCGGTTAGAGAAGGAGGAGAATGACGAGCATGAGCGTGCGGAGAGGGATAAGATGGCTGAGCTGGAGGAGAAGATGTTGGATTCGAAGAGAGAGATGGCGATTGCGGATGCGCTAGATGAGATTCGGACGAGGAATGCTAGGATAGAGAGGAATGAGGCGCTAGGAGATGAGACAGCGATTGCGCATGTGCGGGAGGAAGTCGACGAGGAGAAGTTGAAGGTTGAGAAAGAGATCGAGGAAGCTGCGCGGAGGGCATTCACTACGGAAACTGGGGAGAAGGTGAAGAGGCTTGTTGAGGAAGATCCTTCGAATGGAGTTACGCCAGACCCCAAGCCAAGCGAGGCGCCACCTTCATTCACACGAGTGAAGAAGGCGAAGAAGCCATTGCCGAATAGTTTGGGCATTAAGAAGAAGGCAAAGCCATCGCTGGTGTAAAACATGTGCTCGCGAAATTTTACAATGTTATTCTATAGGCTTGGCGTTTGATTGGGATGGCATGGGGTACATACAGTTGCTTACGAGCATTACGACTAAGGTTATGAACTGACTGCTGAATTATTTCGATTCTTATAAATACTACATATCAAAACGGCAATCAAGAATATAGCGATTAAGAGACAGGTCATAAGCATATCCATCAAAGATGTTTCCCAGAGCGCCACGCTGAAACAGTAAAGTAGTACCACAGTAAAACGGAACTCGTTCATCAGAACCGTAGGCAATCCTCCACAATCCGCTGAGCAAATAAAACGCCAAGCATAAGAAAATAATACACCAAATAAGCACAAAACACAAAGCCCCGTGGCTAGAGGTACGGCATCCACAAAGCATCGCAGGTTGCTAGATGCTGAGGGTTGACGGCCTTGGAGATCAGGTCGATCGTAGTTTGGTTGGCTGGCAGGTTGCCCTCCGGAGGGCTGGCAAGGCTAACGGCCCGGTTGACGATGACATCACTGTTGTTATATACCAAATCACGGAGCTGCGGGACTGGTAGAACGCCCCGATGCTGTGCTGTAGCCCAGAACATCATTTCGTCTCGGACGAAGATGCTTAGTTGCTGCTCCAGCTCATGACGGGGCTCCGTAAGGCATCGGGCAATTGCCATCAGTGCGCAAGCAAATAGACCTTCGGTGGCGATGGGCCCCATCAACGTCTGAATATTGGGAGTCAAACGGAAAGGCACCTGCTCCGGGTTGTAGAAGAAGGCCTTAGTAGGGTTGATGGCTGGGATCAACTCGGAGCTCCAAATGTCACCCGTCGTCCTAGAAATCATGATCTTGTTGGGATACCGGTTACCCATATGCATCACGTAGGTCATGAAGGCGATGGCGGCATATTGGTACGCAAATTGACGGCGGAAGAGCCAGAAGTCAGAGAAGTTGGGATATGTCTTCTGGAAGTAGTCCAGCACAATATTGCTAGGAACCCACTTCTCCTGAATCGCAGTAAGGATCTCAGTTCGAAGTACTTGCTGTTGATCAGGTGTCCGCTGAGGAAAATTAGTCTTGCTCAAGTATGTTGGTGCGGTGATTTCACTTACACTCTGCTTCGTCTCCGCTAATGACCTCATCTTTTCCATCGTGAATAGAACAGGATCGTCCTTGTTTATGCCAACCCGTCGGCAGTAGTCTTCATAGATGCCCTGCATGGAAATGTACGAGGAATCATCACGAACCAAACGAATATGAGGTGCCAACGGAACCATAAGGGGAAGATGGAAATAAAGATTGCGCCGTCTGCTTTCCTTGCGTTTGCCTAAGAGGCCATTGAAAATACGGAACAACTGCAGAATGCGCTCCTCGCGTCTACAGTGCCGAGCTGCTGGATGTTGGACAGCGAAAGGATGTATACTACCATCATGGCCACGGATCTTCAAGCGTCTGTGACAAACACCAATACCGCGAACTAGATCAATATCAGGCAAAAATCGATCAATGCGAACGAAGTCCTGGTTCTTGTCTTTATGCAGCAAATATTGGCCAGGCACCTCAACCTCGTCGAATTTAAGGAATCGGAACTCGCTGAGATGTGGAGAGTAACTCTCGAGGAACTGGGACTGAGGTCGGCGATCAAGCTTCTCTTCGAACTTGTCACGCCAACGCCGCAACTTCTGAATATACTCATACATCGTAGGCTTCTTGACAACGAAGTCGGCCTCGAAAGATTTGCGAATATGTGCTGGGAGGATGGTCTCGGCAAAACGCGTGATGTTTGCTTCCGTAGGAGCAGGAAGCTTGAAGTCCTGAGCATACGAGCCAGGCATGCGACCAACATACGCCAGTCCATCATTCAAAAGTGCGACAATGAGACGATAGGCATCTTCATCGGGTGGACATTTGAAGTTCTTGTGAATCTGGTCGACCATCGTCTCCATAGACAGCGCAAGCAATGGGAAAGCTGTCTTGAGCCCGGACATGATCTCATCAGAGTATTCCCAAGGCTTCTTGAGAGGTTCCTTCTCAGGCTCAGCACCAGCGTTCTGGTTTTGCTGTGATGCCCCATTTTGGCCAGGTACCTGGAGATTCTGCTGTTGACCACCTTGAGCTTGGTTCTGAGTTTGACCTTGCCCCTGGTTCTGGCCCTGAGCAGGAGACTGCTGAGCTTGGCCGTTGACTTGAGGACTCTGGCCCTGACCCATTCCCTGTTGAATCTGGGTTTGGGCTTGCTGTTGGTTAGGCAGATTAGCCTGGCCTTGCACGGGAGTGGATGTATTGGCATTTGGAGGCTGAGCATTCTGCGCAGGTGAGCCGCCCACAGCTGATGGAGAAGGCTTGGGCTGTGGTGAAGCTTGGGCTTGGGCCTGAGCTTGAGCCTGCTGCTGTCTGGCACGATTCAGCTTCTCCTGCTTCTGGTCATGCTGCTTCTTGATATTGAGCATATCTTCCCTATTCGTACGTAGTAAGAAGAAGAGAGCCTGCGGGTACAGTTTTGCGATTTTCACCAGAAGGGCTTTGCAAAGGCGTGCTTCTCGATGTGAGAGACTGGTAAGAAGCTGTGGTATGAAGGTGATCCAATACCAGACAGGAGTGTCTCCCTTGAAATTTTCGAAGGCAGCCGCGACACGACCTTCTTCGTTGTCCAAGCTAAGGAGCCAAAGGATACGACTGAGCAACTTCCTAGCTTTGGAGTTTTTATAAAGCCCTGCAGCCTCAAGGTAGCAGCTTACAGCATTGCTGGCTAATTCATAATCCGATGGATCAGATTTCTTGAATCGCTGGTCACTGTATTGTCCCCACTCGGACCAAGCCTTTGCAAGCCTCAAGTCGTAATAGAGAGCAACACCAAACGCATCGTTTGCTTCACTGACATGGCTCAATTTAGCCAGGAACATACCCTTCAAGGTATAGAACTCTGCCTTCTGCTGTGCACCGAAGTAATTAAGATTCGTATTGTTGATCACATCCAGTCCGCTGTTCAGCTCCTTGGGGTTTTGGTAGTGACATTTGGCTTGTTCACGCAGTTTCAAGAAAGCTTCTTGGATCTCGATATTCGGAAGCGTATAGATACGGCTAAGTTGATTGATACACACCTCTGGCATTTGATGTTTACGTGCAACATGGGCGAAGCGGTTAATGATCCATGCGGTCTCATGGTATCCACGGTAGGCATAGGAATTGCTGGCCACATTGTTGGTCTGTGGTGGCAACAAACTGAGATACGTGGCATTGATCAATTGGAAGATATGCTGACGCCACGTAACTAAATCTTGCCACGCGTTGATATCATCCCAGAGGTTAGGAAGGCGGTCACGCCAAGTTCCCAGCAACAGTTTCAGCTCGGCTGATTTCGTATCCAGGTTCCGCTCATTGGTTTGCGAGAGACTGGAACAGATATGGCTTGCATCATGGAGCTCGACTAAGAGCTGGAAGTGCTGCAGAATAGGGATGTGAGCATTTGTAATCCTCTTCGGCAACTGAAGCCACTTGCGGATAGACAGCTGAATGGACTCGTCACAAACGCCGTTGAACTCCTGAATATTCTCTTTCTTGATGTGATATTGAAGGAGTGCCATGAATGCCTGGAAAAAGGTACGTCTCGGCGTTGGTGCATCAGACACGGACTTGATGAGGGATTCGAGTTGCTCTCTATTGCCTTCGCTCTGCCAATTCTCAATATTGCGCCAGGCAGCTTCAAGAAGAAGATCGTTCAAATTCTCATGTTTGGCAAAGTCGCTGAGAATCTCCCATTGCTGCAGCTTTTGCGCGCAAATCAACCAATGATCCTCCCAGAGGTAGTATTCACCTTGCGAGAACGGCATTGCCCCAGAGCGAGCCTTGATCTGAGCATTCTCATACAACTGCTGGGCCTTATCCCACATTCCTTGCTGTTCGTAGGAAAGAGCAGCGTTGGTCTCGACAAACTTACAACGACGTCGCCAGGTGCCATAGAAGAAATCATCTTCCTGCAGGCCTGCATAGACTTCAACAAGGGCATCCAAGTTGCTCTCACGGACAGTCGGTGTGTCAATTATGGGGTTGATGGCCGTTTCTTCCAAGTACCCAGCAGCCGTGTACCAAGCATCGTAGGTCCGGCTAAGGTACTTCATCACATGTGGGGGAATCTTGAACCGTGGCTTAGCCCGAACCGCACCCTCTAGCAGCGCTTGAACAACGTTTGGTCTCTTATCCAACTGCCTCTGGTGGTACTCGCGCGTGATAAGAGTAATCATACCCTTCTCCAAATCAATGCGATCTTCTCTGGACAAGGTAGACCAGAAGATGGTGAAGAGATTAGTCCAAAGAGTGTAGGCAACATTTGAATCAGTGTGTTGCAGCTGGCATAGTGGTTCCATCAAATCCCGGGCTCTAACGTCACCGATATCCGCCACGAATCGCTTCCGATCAGAGACAAACGCCTCTAACTGGATATCGACCATGACATCGGCTTTCCTCGAATCCTTGTCTGCGTTTCCAAATAGGAACGATAGAGGGTAGACAGTATAGTCATCAGAATGCAGTTTAGCGGGTGCATTCATATCCACACAGCCCAGGACCAGATGCGATGCCTGTGCAAGCCAGAATGAGTCTGCGAGGGTATCCCAGTTCTGGCATGTCAGCACATAGCTGAGTCGAGAACTAGCCAAACGAGTCAAACTTCGATCGAAGATGGTCATGAACCGATTGCGCATTTCAACATCTTGTGCTCTAGTACCAATCAGGAATGCATGCTCCAAGCGAACCGTTAATTCAGTCCGCGTGATCTTAGAATCCTCGTAGATCCTGATGACAAGGTCAAGGAATTTCTTGAGCATGGTCTGGTCTTGTCGCGATTCGAAAAGTAGCATCTTGTGCAAAACCGCAGTCTTTTCCTTCAAAGTAGGCCATGATTCATTGGAATGGAAGATCCAGGTCTCAACCATACCAAGCACCTTGCTGCAGAGTTTTATGTTTTGCGATCGCTCCACAAGCTGGGCTAAAACGCTCAAGAAAGGACGCCTTTGCTCCCCTAAATGAGACATGCGCACAGATATCAACTCGATAGTCTTGAAGATTAGGTCCACCCCAATTTCAAACTCTTGCTGGTCTGGAACTCCGTCCCCGGGTTTAGTTCCTGGAATGGCTTGGTTTTGATTGTTCACGGAAGC